AGAACTTAATACCCAACTGAGAAGCAATCTTTCCTTCATTTTCAAGCCATCAAATGCCTGCAGACGGGCAGACTGGCAACCCATCTACAGAAGCTGCACCGCTTCGTAGAAAGTAACACAATCCTGTTAGGCTGGGGAAAGAGCACAGTCAAGGAGTTCATTCTGCGAATCATTGATTAGGAGAAAAGCCTTGGCCACATTTCCTGCCGTGAGCCCTCTGTGAACCCAAGGGACATTGCCTGCCTTAGAATGGTTTGGCTTTCTGGATGAGTACCTGACCAGAGCTGCAGCCCTAGCTCAGGCTCATATCCTCCTTGGCTTTTTAAGTCAAAACCCAAATTTCATTCTTCCTTAAATACTCCTGTTCCTCCCTTTCCATATGACATCTGTGAGTTACCCTCAAAAAGATCTGATACTTTTCCAGGCCCATGGCAGAGGGGTTGGAACTTGATGATCTTTAAGGTCCCTGCCAACTCTAACTATTCTACGATTCTATGATTTCCTTCAAACACTTTTCACTTACAGAGAAAATGCTCCTATCCTACCAGAATACGCTTTTCTAAGGAAAAATATATTACAGCTACTATTTGTTCTGTGATTGTTAGAAGCCCCACTGGGCAGTTTTGCGCAAGAAAGAAACCCCCTGGACAGCCCTCATCCCAAGAGTTAATACAGAAATAGGAAAGTTTGTTCCAAGCAGAGGGAGCAGACTCTGACGTACAAAAGAATGACATGACTGCCAGCAGCCGTTCTGCAACCATCTTCTGATTCAGTACTAATTAGACTTTGCTTCCTACTGCCAGAACACCCTGCCATTACCAATACTAAACTGGGGCATTTTCTATGAACCTTATCTAGACCTGCAGCAACCAAAAGCCATTATTTCCCATGAGAGGTATAAATTCCAGGCAGGGAAAATAGCTACATTTATCACACTCATCTCCCTATGTACAGGAACAGAGTGAGTTTATTTGTGGGGTGGGTAAATAAGTAATCAGTTTAAGACATATGGGGCTTTCTGGGTGGCTAGACAATAGCTTATCTACTTGGCAGACATCAAATTCTTTTCCAAGAGCTGGAGCCAGCTGTGCCCTCTATGGCCAGTAGGTATTGCCCAGTATCAAAGTCCATCTACTTCATTTCCTCCTGCACCTCAATGGACAGAAGTCACCGTTTCCCTTTATCATGCAACAATTGAATCAAAATATATGAGTAAATTTATAATAGTGCTCTGGGGTGCTTTGCCTTTGGGGCTTGACCATTTGAAGGGACAGTGTGCTCTAATGCTGTAGTATCCCTCATGGGATATCTCGCCAGAGAGGGAGGAAGATGCACAGTGAACAGCGAGATATTACACTCAGTTCTCCAGCATTTTTACACTCCAGGAAAGAAGTCTTTGAACCTTCAAAAATACAACATCCTCTAAGCATTAGCATTTTGTGAAGTTAAAGTACAGTCATCTCCCTCCTCGCCTTCAAAAAACCATGAAGTACGATGGCTGGATTTTGAGTTACAAGGTTTAACAACAGAGCAGGAAGGAAATGAGCTGTTTGCCTGTATGTGATTTAACTAACGGCGCTTGCTGTTACAAGCGTGCCGACGCAGGATGTTTTTGTTAAACTGGGCATCTGAAATGTGGCTTCCATAAAAAGCATAGCGGCAGACGCCTGTGTATGTGTGCGGTCAGTCACAGGAAGTAGTTCATTTGAAACCCTTAGCAGTTTTCTGCATTGCAGAGGAAATATTTGTACCCAGTAATGGCAAAAGTCCATCTCAGGCAGCCACAGATGTGCACCTCAAGCCCTGAATCGGCAACTGGCGATTCAGTAAAATGGGGTCCTGGTTTTGTTACGCTGAGGTGAAGTGTGAGCTATCTGAACAGACAGGAACGCTTCAGGGGTAGGCATATGAGGTTTGTTAAACCTGCAATGAAAAGCACCTACATCCCAGCAAACCCCAACAACACCTAGCAGGGCAGGCGGTTTCAGGGAGAAAGAACAGACGGATTCGGTATGCTGATTATTAGAGAGACAGAGTTAAAAGAACAGTCTTATCACCAATTGAAAATGTTGTCTAGTAAATATCACCCCTTCCAATGCATCCTTTACCTCCTGCTTTCATCAAAAGCCCCGTGCTTAGCCATGGCCAGCGAAATTCACATCCAGGATCCACAAATCTCCTCATGCGCTCACTAGTTTGCTTAAGAAAAGCCTTCAGTTTCTGGTCAAATCCCTCAACTTCCCGCAGAAGGATAAGAAGGTAGAAATAAACCAAACGCAGCAGCTCATTCCGGGAGCTAATTTACTTTGGGGATTTCCTACAGACATGAGCTGCGAGCTGAGATGGCAGAATAATCCCTCATCCATCCCAGTCAGAGCACACACCGCTGGAGCACTTCCCAATCACCCGGAGAAGTGCCAGGCAGCAGCAGGACAATTCAAAATAGCCACCACCAGCTTCAGTCTGCAGGGTGGGAAGGGGGGTGGCTGGGCCCCCCCAGCCCCTTTGCCTCAGCACTCACTGCTGCAAGCACTGGCTCCGCAGCACTGGTGGGACACCACCACAGAATCACCTAGGTTGGAAGGGACCTTTAAGATCATCTAGTCCACTCATTAAAAAAAAAACACAAAAAACCCAACACACACAACAACAACCAAACAAAACACACACACCAACACTAAACTATATTCCCGAGCACCATGTCAATTCATTTTTTGAATATCTTCAGGGATGGTGCCTCAACCGCTTCCCTGGGCAGCAGCCCATTCCAATGCCTGATAACCCTTTCAGTGAAGAAATTTTTCCTAATATCCAACCTGAACTTCCCCTGGCACAACTTGAGGCCGTTTCCTCTTGTCCTACTGCCTGTAACTTGGGACAAGAGACCAACCCCCGCCTCTCTACACCCTTCTTTCAGGGAGTTGTAGAGAGCGATAAGGTCTCCCCTCAGCCTCCTCTAGACTGAACAACCACAGCTCCCTCAGCCTCTCCTCATAAGACTTATTCTCCAGACCCCTCACATGCACCGTTATTTCACACCCCCATGCACCATTATTCAGCTCACCATGGACTTCCTCACTGTTAGTGTCATGGTGTGGTGGGGATCTAACTTCAGCAGCTCAAATATCTCTGCTTCTCCTGACCTAAACCCAAGGAAGTTCTGCTGTGGAGCAGGGAGTCACCCACTGGGGACAGGGTGAGGACAGGGTGTCACCAGTGGGATGGGCAGACTTGACATAGAAGAATAGGGTGAGAAGTGACATTGACAGTGATGTGATCAGGAAACAAAGAAAACCACGTTCCTAGCATTAGTTATGGGGCTCCCAGGATGTTTTATAGCATCAGTTTTCTACACCCTGGGGGTTTCCCGCTGGTAGAGGCTGCGGGACTTCTCCTTACAGTGCTTTCTGGTGGCCATCTGGGGTGGAGCCACCAGCACTCTGATGTTTGCAATGTTATGACTCCAAACTCAGCCCTGGGCAAAACTGGGAGACAGCATCCCCATGGAAAGGAGATAATTCAAAGCAGCCATGGTGCCTGGCACCCTCAGCCCCTTTATGGGCCTGCTGAAGCGATCCTAGTCCTGCAGTGGCTGAGACTCCTCACAGAGAATGTCTGAGTGAAGAGCTTCCACCAGGGCAGAGTGCAAGGGAGCTGCTTCCAGCTGGTCCATGGACTAGACTGATCCTCAAGGAAATACAGGAGACCTTGCTCTTCCTTCACAGAGAGCATTGGAAGCATATTAAGCATTGGAATGGACTGCCCAGGGAAGTGGTTGAGGCACCATCCCTGGAGGTATTTAAAAGATGGGTAGACATAGTGCTTAGAGACATGGTTTAGTGATGGTCTTTATCAGAGTTAGGCTGATGGTTGGACTAGATGATCTTAAAGGTCCCTTGCAACCTAGACAATTCTATGAATCTATAAGAGCAAAACCTGGGCAACAGCTGCCTACAATGGCACCACCACTCTGCTTCCCCCTCTCCCCCAGCTCCAGTTTAACATCTGAATGTGCTGGAGTTGCCCTCAGCATGGGAGGGCCAGGCACACAGCTGGCTGCTGCACACCTATGTGGCAATGCCTGGTAGAAATCTGCTATAATATCTCAGTGTGAATCCAAAGAATGTTTCACACTCGTTCTTCAAGTTGTGTTCAAGTGAGGTTGCATGATCCCCTCTAAAGCAAGATCCTATTCCAGCCTGCAGCCCAGGAGGGAGCAGACAGCCCAAAATAACAACTTAGCTCTTCCTAGAAGAGCAAGAAATTACTGTTGTTTTGATTTGTGGTATGACTGGGCTGCAGTACAGCCTGTGGTATTTATGCATTCTCTCAGAGGGGTTAAGTGAAGATGGGTCCCTTCACTAGCTGTCCACTGTGTTGTCTACTCTGACTTCAGCACATCATCAATGGCAGATTGAGGAAGACCAATGAGTCATTTGCTGCTTTGTTATCCAGGATTTTTTTTTTCCATCTGAATCGGAGCCCTTCTGACTCTTATTGCAAGATAACCAAATGGGACCAGCAGAGAAATTAGGGAACATGGTGTAACAGTCCTTTAAGATATGATCTAAAAGCCTTTTCTTGCCACAAAACACAAAGCAGCCAAACCACAGGACAAAAACAGCTCAGAGCCCATTGTCTACTTTTCTTGCACTGACAAGATGCTGATGATCTTAAGTCCATGGAAAAACAACTCCAAAGAGTCACCCGTCAAACATGTTTTTATAATCCATTTCCCCATTTTCAGTATTCATTTCCCCAACTATGTCCTAAACAACATCTACTTATGTACCATATTTTACATGGAAGCAATTAGTTTTATAAATTAATCATAATGCACATTTAAATCTACATTGCACTTGCATCCAAATCATCATCACATTGTCATGGTTATATTATTTACTACAATTTAACCATCACCAGTCTGCTTAGGAGGAAAACAACTCTCATAGAGGACCCAGTCATTCCAAAAGTTACCATACTTGCAGTTTCACTCTTGTAACTGAAACAGAGCTGAAGTATAGCTGAAGGTCAGCTACGAGGTTCTTACATGCAAGGCAGAGTTCAAAAACATCAAACTATAAAGAGTTATTTTCAGACAAGATATTGTTACCTCTGACATCATCCTTATCGGGGTGAATGTGTATACTCCAAGATACAGGCTGGGTAAATCTTCTGCTTCTCAAAGATGACAACATGGAAGGATTTTTTTCTATTATCTACACAGCTGTCCAAAAGTCTGTTTGAAATCCCAGGCCTGGTTAGAAGGCGAAGGTAGACTTGGTTTCCCCAAACAAAGTCTCCAATGAGAACTTGAGCTACAAATATGCCATGGTGGTCTGTGCTGGATGGACAGCATTGATAAGAATAACTGGCATCTCTGTCAAAGTAGCTTCCTAGGGACCAGAAAAAGTAATGGGTAAGAAAATGCATAAACTGAAGTAACATAGATCTGCTATCTGCACTCTGGCAGCCAGATCCTCAACAAGCATCTCCTTCTCTTACCTACTCCAGGTAGCTCCAAGCGCATCCTTGCCAGGTGTTTCCACATGAGTTCATTTTAAGGCATCAGCAGATGGGGTTGATCTGGAGACTTTCTGTGGGAGAATCCTTAGAAATTAATGGTCGTCCTGTGAGCACCCCAAGCTCTGGGCAGCTGTTGACAATAGGCCTCTGACAATAGTCCAGGCCTTTGACAACAGTGCAGGCCTCGAGGTTACTAAACGGTTTAGTTGTGATTTGTAAACTAATGAAACTGGCAGAAAAGGAGTAGCTGTCTTCTGAATGTACTGATAAGTAAGACCTTGAGTAGAATAAAAAAAAAAAGATAAAAGACTGTGTGTGTAAACAGCTAATAATAGCCAACATGAAAACATGTAACTAGTTACCACCTGTTAATTATAGTCCACTATAAAAGCATCACCTGGGAATTGTCTATAAAAGCTGAGCTATCTGTGCAATAAAGCGGCATCTACCTGATCACATTGGTCGTTGTGTATGGTGTCCACTTTCACCCTTGCTTTTTGTTGCTTTACTGGTTACAAAAGGCCTAAGGAGGCAGGATCACGCCTTCACAGCAGGAAGCACAGCTTGTGCTGTGCTCTTTGATGCGCTCTGGAAACACCCCAAGCATTTTGATGCAGGTCCAGCTCAGGCACTTGTACCTTGGGGACAGCTGTACCTTGTTGCTGATGAGAAGCAGTGAGTTAATTCCCTGTTTTGCTTTGCTTGCATGTACAGCTTTTGCTTTACTTGTTAAACTGTCTTTATCTCAACCCATGATTTTTTTCTCATTTTTACTCTTCTGATTCTCTCCCTTATACCAACTTGGGGATTAAGCAACCACCTGCATGGCCCTAGTTGCCAGCTGGGATTAAACCACAACATCAAGACCAAGCCTTCCACCTGAAATCAAATGGCTGGTGGTGGTTTCCTGCATGCCATGAGAAGGCAGGTATGTCAGTGCACACAGCTACTCTCTGTTCAGCATTGCCTTTGCAAAATCCCTGAAGGGAAAACAAGGGTATGTGGCTGGGGGGAAAATAAAAACAACCTCTTGTTTTTGTGGTGTTAGATGTGATCAGAGAAGACTATGTTCTGACACAGAAATACTGAGCTAGATGACTGGAATCAATGGCATGGCTGAAGAGGAGGCTTGATCCTTAGCTGGGCTCCAAAAAGAGTTTTCTTCTTACCTTTTCATATCAGCACCAGAAAGGCAAAGGTAACTAATGTGTGTCAGGTGGTCTTCCTCAGTCATGTCTTCTCCTTCCTGGGCCACCACCCTAAGGAAAGTGTCTCAGACCTTCTTCCCTGCAAAATCAGCAAAAGAAACAAAGGAACTTCAAACAGGAGCTAAGAGGAACCCCTGTGTCATTGCAAATGCAAAAAATCCCACTGCAGTTCAGATACTGTTAAAAGAAACTTTGCTAGTATAACAGGAGATATTTCAGAAATACAAAATTGTCTTGATGGGGGATAAGAGAACCAAAACGAGAAAGCTGAGTTTCTGATATGTAGCAAATAGCTGCTACTCATACACCTCATACAGGGATAAAGACAACAGATCACAGGTCAAACAGCACTCTCTCACACTTCCCCTGCAGCCCTGAACTCTAATTCTTGTTAGAATTAGTACTTTAAGTTTTGGTTTTAGACCTCAATTTCTCTGATAAAACACTGGCCAGCAAGCAGAGCACATTTTCTACAAATTCAGTATATCTGTTCTTCTCAGAGAAGAACCGAAGTAGTCACTTGTTTAGATGTATGAAAATATTTTCAGTTCCTCTCTCTATCAGAGGGGTAAAATTAATTTAACCAATTATATCTGTCCCCTCAAACCTACTAATTTCTCATGCTCTGTTCAATTGCAGCCAAGTTGGAAACAAGGAAATGTGTAAAACTACACACTGCACCTACGAAACAAAGAACCCCCTCCACCAGAGTGTTGACTAAATGCTTTTGCTGAATTTGTGGAAAATGCTCATGCCAACTGGAACAACTTTTTTTTTTTTTTTTTTTTCCCTCCAGGAACATTTAGTTTATGTGCTTTTTTTTCCTTGGAAAACTTCAAACCCAGACTGGCATCTCTGGTTACTATACTCGAGCACAAGTGATGCTATCCTGTGCTCCATTTGTGAAACGATAGGGGCAGGCAACCAAAACAGGGAGCCTTAGGTTCAGTTCAAGTGTAGGACTAAATGTAGGTCTCCCATACCCTGGGGAAACAGTCCACCCACTCCTTTGGCTGTGGTTAATCAAACTCTTAGATTTCATGAAAAAATAAAACTCTAGCGTTCTCCATTTTGAATGAGAACATTGTAGTTGAGAGAAGCCAAACAGTAAAGAAAACTTTTTTCCAAATCCTGTTGTTCTACCAACAGGGAGGGTATGTACAACTAAAACTTGTAATGCCTGGGTTTGTTGTTTTTTGTTTGTTTTTTTTTTTTCCAAAAAAAGGTCATATAATCTGGTAGTTTCAAAAATGGCTTATGCAAAGCCAGGCTTATGAAATAAGATTTGTATGCACCCCAAATCTTAACCCCAGGTTTATAAAAGCCATCTTTATAATAAAAATATTTTGAAGTTGCTGGGTTTTCCTATTCAAAACATAAATTTCCTATAAACACCAGGTCTAATTCCACAGGGCCCCAACCTTTTTGTCATCCACCCTCCCATTTTTGGATTTGGTTATTTTTCCACCATAAATCAGAGAATCGGAGCAGTCCGCTCACGAGGAATGTGCCTGAGCCCATGAGGGCTGGGATACTGGGCCGTGCGGAAAGGGAGGGCGGTTTGCCCTTTGCCAAGGGGGAACCACCCACACGCCGGGAGGACGGGATGGGGCCCCAGCCATTATCTGAACGGCTCCGCTGCCACCAGGGGAATGAAGTAAAGTGGATACAAACCACTGGAAATGCTGCCAAAGCATCGGGCTCCGAGTCCTCCGGAGCCTGTGGATGCTGTAATTCTTCATTGTCTGCTGAAATAGGTTCTCAGTTTCCCTGAATTTGCTGTCAGCGCAGCTGACTTCTACTGGCTGGAAAAAAGTTAACGCAACGCAGACCAACGTGTTACAGCGCTTTCGGTGACACCTCCCCGGTCCCTCACAAAGGACCTAGCACCACCTCTGCGGGTGCAATCGTGGCCTGGGATTTTTCAGAGCCCTTTCTCACTTATTCATGGTGCTTTCCTCACTCTTACTCCTGTCCCAGCGTGCTCTAAACTACTACTCTGAGAGCTTGTCTGTAATACAAAGGAGCTATTGCTTTCCGTGGAGCACATTGCTTCTGCCCAGAGAGCGTCTGCAGTCCTAAGCAAGCTGAAACGAAACCATGCAAAGACACCAAGGGTTTGGAATAGGTGTCCAGCTAGAAAAGAGAAGGTGAAATCACTGTTCTATATCAAGTGCATACTTAACTTCCTTGCACACCAACTGATCTTTATAGACAAGCCCCGGTGTTACTTCTGTGAATCAACAAAGCAGCTTTATTGATAATCATGCTGCCTGATGTTCCAAAAACACACAAGACCTAAATCTCATTATAACAATTCCAAATGAGCTGATGGTTCCCCTACTGTGCATGCTTTGATTTGAAATTCTAGAGTGCCGCTGATTTTTAAAGGAGAAACAGTCCTGTGAACAGGGAGCACTGAGGTTCAACCTCCAGATCATCAGCTGTCATCTCGGTCAAACCCAAAGCACAATGGATAAATCAACATTTCTGTGCATTCTAGCTGTTTAGATGTACAATGCCATGATGTGAATAGACAACCCTGTGTCCCTTGCGAATATCTTCCTCAAAGCCATCCTTGTCTCTCTTGTAGCTGTACATTTTGGAGTAACACATTTGCAAGATGAAAACTAACAAAACCAGTTCTTAGACTCAGGCACATATTTTAGATTTGCTTGACATAAGCCATTACAGACTATAACTTTTCCCAAAGTAATGAGCAGATGTGAACAGATATATACCTGATATCCTATTTCAGGCAGTGCTGGATGGTCCCAGTGTGAAGGAAATACGACGTAAGTGAACGGCATCCAATTGCCTGTTTAAAACAAGTTTGACCAAGATTAACAAACTCAAGGGGTTTTCTCAAGACAGTCTTCTGGTCACGTTTAGGGACTGCCTCGGAAAACCTTCTGCCTTTACATTCTATATAAATTATTCTCTCTTACTAACACAAGCTACAAGTAGAGAATGTCCATGTATGTTATAGTGATGCTCTGCAGCAAAATGCATCACATAATGCTTTCAGCAGTGTTACCTTTTCCTTCCTTGCTTGGCTACACACTTATAAACACGCTTAATAATATCATGACCTAGTCCTGTCTAAAGAAATTACAAACAGCTCTTCGGGCATGAGAGCTCCATCACCTCTCCTTACCACAAGGCCACATTGGCCTCTTCTGGCAGTTAGTTACCAAAAAAAAAAAATGCAGTGGCATGAACAGTGCCTGTTGAGACCCTAAGAAATGATTAAAACTGACTTCTTCCTGAATTGCAGACCAGAACCATGCAATTCAACCCATTGGGAGAGGACTCAGAGAAGGAAAAGCCCACCAAATCCATGCCAGATTATCTGATTATTAACATCTGCCTTTTGTTCCAATGAGAACAGTTACTTTCTTCCCATTTCTCTTATTTCCTCTGACTGCTATAAGATTCTGCCTGCGCCTGCATCAACAGCACTGCACAAATTTCCCCTAATTGGTGTCTCCGCTCTTCCAGCCCCACTCTTCCTCCTGCTCCAGACTCCAGCATCCTTAAATCAGGATGTCAGCCTTATTCCCTGAGCTTCCCAGCTCACTAGCAGGCTGTGTGGCAAACCAAAAAGTATGTTTTCCCCAGGCTATATGGCTATTCACATTTGAGTTGGACTTGCTGTTTCACATCGTGACCAGTATCAGCCTTGATAGAAGAATATAAAACACCCCCTAGAAGAGTTTTTCTGTCTCCATCAGATTTCTTTGAACACCCCCAGCCATGTAACTTCCCACCAGCAGAAAGTGGGAAGCTGCCCTGGCAGTCTCCAGGCCGCTGGGATTTCTCCTGGGTGCGCTCCCCTTGCAGCACGCCTGGCACAGTCACAGCCTGCCAACCCTGTCAAACCCACCACCCAGCCTACCTGCACGAAGTCTACATCAGCAGATAAATGAGTCATCCTGAAGCAGGAGAGGACTTAATAAACAGATATTATTTTCCACAGGAGGAAAATAATGAGCATAACATCCCATACCTTTCCTTGTCCTGGTTCTTCCTGCCACTCGCAGCAGCGCTAGGACTTCTGCAGATTTTTATCACAGTCTGAGGATTCAGATTTCTCTGGACTGTTTCTTGAGGGAGAAGACAAATGCACCACAAATGAGAAAGGAGGTTTTTGCCATCTGGGAATGCTGCCCAGGAGAGCAGATGTCATTGTGCAACATAGTGGGATTAGCCTTGCTCGTGTTGCTCCTGCACCCAGCCCCTCCTCTGCTCCCTGCCACTTCTGCTTCGGGCATTTTGCTGTCAGTAGGAAGGGATCTGTGCAGGCGTTTTGAGCTGTAGTGGCTGACTGAGAAGCTGATTGTCACCATCACACAATTTCATGTTTTCTTCCCCTCACATAGATTCTGTCTTCAAAGCAACCAAGACTTAGGGGGCTGACCTGGCTTCCAACCAGCACCAGCTCCTCTTGTGGTGTTGAAAGAAGGGACCGTCTCCTTCTCTGAACTCATGGTGATAACACAGAACAAACACTCACAGACACCTGAAGTGCTGCCTGTGAAAGTTTTGGGGAGGTTTGTGGACACCTTTTTGACTGTGCCTCACTCCAAGTGGTCAAAGCGTAGTGACACCCATCAAATGTCTCGTTCCATTTATAGTAGTGTGATCTCTATCCCAAAAACAGGCCTCTGAACTATGTAGTCCTTCTCTGGGGATCCAGACTCCACTTTAGTCATACTACGTCTTTTCTATTGTCCACCAATGTGTCACAGTGCCTCACATTGAGCTCCCCATCCCAGGCGCTTTCATTCTTTTGCTGGAGACACTCGGGGTAATTCCTACCGCTCCCTACAACATGGGGGCTGGTGTTGCCCACACTAGACAAGGCCCTGGTAGCTCAGCAAGGGACTGTGTCTCCCGTGGAGCCTGGGAAAGCCCAGAGCCTGCTGAGTGCAGATGCCTCAAAAGTCTGGCAGCCTCTGTGGTGAACGTCAGAATCACCAGCCCCGACGCAGTGACGTGCTCAGATTGTGTCGGCTGATTCAGACTCGGCTTTATCACTGGGGAAGATGTAAGGGTAACGACTGCACACACTCACTCACA